TCAATGTTGTTCGCCCCCAAGACCAGCGCCTGCCGATTCCGGCTCTGGGACATCAGGGAGGATGTCCAGTCATGGCCATCGTCACATCCCAGGCACTCCTGGCATGCCGGCCACCCCCCAGTCGTGCCCTGGCTACTGGGCTTCAATGTCCGCGGGCGAACATGCTCAGCTCTGGCAGAAGCTGAGGAAGGTCCTTTTGGGTGATAAACATCCTCACCAGCGATGCTCCTGAAGGAGGAGAGGGTCTCTCTAAGGTGGCCGCCCTCCGGGAGCACAGCGGGACGGGACAAACCCACCGGCCGTGGCACAGCACACGCGAAGGACGTGGGGCTCCGCTCCTCCACTGATGCCTCCCCCCGCGGCCGCTCGTCCTGCCGGGCCCCGGGCACATCTCTGCTGCTTCGGCAGCGCTGGTGCTGCTCGGTGCCAGAAACGGTGCTTCGGGTCCCTGAGATGTCCAACTGCTCCAAAGCTGTCTGGACCTGGAGGAGTTTCAGCTCCTGCAGTGCACCCATCATGCAGTTCATCTGCTCGTGCAGCCCGTCTCCGACCTCCTTCATGGATAGCTGCGGAGGGAAGGAAGCAGACATCGAGTCAGTGGCTCCGGGAGCCAGGAGAGAGCAGGAGATTTTGACCGAAGGGCAGGAGAGCCGGGCTGAGCGGCTTCCTGAAACATCGCCTCTTCCCACCGACTGCATCTTAGAGGCATCCTACCTATCCATCCATCTCGTGGAACAGCAATTGGGTATTTATTAGATTTTTCTAGAGTTTCCCTCTAGGAATAAGTGAAGCTGACAGGAGGAGTGGATTTTTTTTGACCTGACAATAAAAATAAATAGATTGAGTTTCCATTAATTGCTTGGCAGAATCCCAAGGCATAGAACTATGAATGGTTTGGGCTGCCTCCAGTTTTACCATATTCTTCTGCTTTTGTGTCTTTTGTGCCCTGTAACTAACTGAAATCAGGAGTCAGAATAATGAACAGAAGTGCCTTCCACAGAGAACCTTGTTTCTTTACCTAAAGTGCTAAAGTAAATTAAATATAAACCCCGGTAAGAATCACATTGTTACTATATAGCATCTCTTCAGGTCTTAATACCCTCATTACAGGCACCTCTCATTAGAGGACAATCAAAGACACTTCAATGCACTTGGAATTTTGTACAAAACAACAAACTCTAAAATTACCTATGTTAAACTAGGGAATCTCTCTGATTCCCAAGCTAAGACCTTTAGTAGCAGTTCCGCTTTATCCCTGCACCCTGCTCTAAAGATTTAACTTTCTATACTAGACTTAAAATAAGCAAGTTATTTTCCAGAGCTTCTAAATCCCCCCCCCTCTTCTCTTTCGCTCTGTTGCTTCCTCTCTCTCATGTAGGATCTGGATCATATTCCCAAAGCGGCATCATAAAACAAATGGGCTATACTTTCCAACAGCTGCCACTTTTTTTTTTTTTTTTTTTTTTTAGCAGGGAGGGGGAATGGGGAGGAGAGGGGAAGAACAGCAGGGGATGGCAGGGCTGGAGGTGAAGACATGTCACATTGATGTAAGGTGGTTTGCAGAAGAGATTACCGCTGTCTAGGAAAAGCTTCAGCCTATGCTGTCACGAACAGTTTAAAAGGCTCATCACAATTTTTGTACAGCAATAGTTCTTGCGCTTAGGGTGAAAAAGGGCAGGTGCATCTTATGTTCAGCTTTACATTACCAAGCTTTAGTCTTATACCTCTCCATTTTAACTAAATTAGTTCAATTACTTGCTCTATTTCCATTTCTGTACCTGGATTTGAGAAGTGAGAAAGAGCAGTCATCAAAAAATTGGATCCTCTGTAACAATCTAGCTCTGTAAGCAGAAAGCTCCTCCACAGTTTCTGACCACAAACCTCCATCTCAAAATCCAAAACCAGCTGGCAGATTACAATGATTTTTTCAGAGCTTCATTCCCAAGAAACTTATTTATCCCCTAGAATGAGCACACAAGCCATGAAGATACGGAAAATCTCTGTGTTTGGCTTCCTGATCACACTTATCAAGTGTCTCCATCTAATTTTTTAACATCAGCGAATAAACCTCTACTTCTGCAGACATGCAAATTACACCCCCCCTTACGGACTAACCGAGCTCCTGGGTTTCCCGTACAAAAGCTGGGGCCATATGCTCTACAAGCCTCAGACAAAACTATCACCTTACCTCTCCAGATTTGCTGTAATGCTTCTCGTCCTAACCTTTCTCGCCTTATTAATGGAAGTCTGGTTTATCTGGGGCTTTGCAAAAAGCTGGATTTGGAGCCAGCTCGGCCCCTCATTGGCCACTTCCCACCAAATCCCCCGGCCGCGCAGCGCTGTAATCACGGCACGGTGAGTGACGAGGGTCCTCGGTAATGACTGGGCTGATCAAACCCTCAGCATATGCTGGACGGCGCCGCTGTTCACCTCATTGATTCAATTAACTCCCTCATGATGGGTGGTATCATTACAATCGAGCCTCATCCAGCAAGGCTCTATTAAGCATTAAAATTTCATGGGCAGCATTTACCGTCAGCGTGGTCATTTCTCACAGGCGGATCCCGTCTCCCTCCGACAAGAAAAGACGTGAGCCCCAAAAGCTCAGACTCCGGCGCTTTTCTTTCTGAACAAACGAGCTGGTTCTGCCAAACCGGGCGCCAGCCCAGCCTGGGGAACCCGAGTGCTGGAGGAGGAGTGGACACGTTTCGTCTGTGGAAACGCTTTCCCAGAAGTGACTACGAGGTTTGGACACTTCTCCCCGACACCCAGCGCTGGCTGAGCCGCCCCCCTCTCAGCAAAGGGGGAGAAATGGGCACTTTTGGGACGTGCCACATCCGTCCTGTTTCAGCAACCTGCTTTGGGTGGGACGAATCCTGCTCTCAGCATCCTGGGAATCCCACCACCAGCAAGTGAGTTTTACAGATCCTGAGGCTTTTAACTCTGCTTACAAACACTGCTAAAACTTTGGGTCGTGCAAGTTAAAAAACCCAGCAAACAACCCCCTCTGCTCTACCTTTTGCTCTTCGTGGGATCCGTTCAGTCTTTTACGGAACGGAAGAGGGAGTGAAACCCAGACCAAAGCGAAGTCACTGCCTGGTGACCAAGCAGTCTGCAGGGGCTTGGATTTCATCCACTAGTAATTACCCTGTGGTAATTAAGAGTACTATTAAGAGTACTCACCCTGGAAAGAAAACTCTGGAGACAAACAAAAAAATAAATATATTTTTTCCCCAGTATCTAACAGCCACTCTCTCCCCTTTGCCAAGATCTCAGTTCTCCCAAGTTCAGACTGGCTTCTCCGAGACTCTCCAGGAAAGGAACAATTTCCCACAGAAGAGAGACCATCGCCCCGGCAAAGGTTCAAGATTGAACTATCATCTGGGCTGCCGGAGGAAAAAACTTTCTGCAAATAATCCAGCAGACTGGGCTGGAAGTCAAACGGATGCTCAGACTGCAAGGTGGTGGGAACTCAAGGCTGAAGGGACAACCCTTGTAGCCTCGCTGGCTCCGTGGCCACGCGCTTCATGTAGAAGGAACTGGAATTTGCGATGTACTGAAGTGCAATTCTAAACAGAGCGTGAATGTGACACAAAACCCCAGAGAGCCTTAATTTGGCATGGAGAGAGACCCTGACCGTACCGGCTGAGGTTATGCAAGTGACATTATGTAAGCTGGCCACCACGGGGCATCAGGAGATGTTCTGTCTTGTGCATGTTTGTGAGCTGTAAATCCCAAACTTCTTGTTGAATCAGGCCCTCGCTCGGTCGTGCTGCAGAGCAGAGTGCCGGGGAAACAGCATTCACTGCAAAACTTCGGGTCTAGCACAGATCTTGCCCGTCAGCATCCTCCCCTCTTGTATCTGCTCGTCTCTGCTCAAGGTGCACAAACACGGCAGCACTTTAAGGGACTCTGGATGTCTAATTTGAGCTACTTTGTGCTTCAATACAAGTGGTTGTTTGGCACTGCTGCTTCCAAGAAAAGCCAAATTAGAACTATGACAACTTGCAGATGTTCAAATTTATCTGTATAAAACAGTTAAAAATCAGATGTTTCAAACTGCATCTCATTATTATTCCTGAAACTTTTGCAGTCCCTAAAAATTGGCATGACAAAGTTTTAGTCGAATTCGGAACAAGCCAACACAGATGCCTTTTATAGCAAGACAAGTACGCGCAGGGCTGAGCCCAGTTGCGACGTGCGTGTTCCACTTCAGTGCCTGGCATGTTAAATGTTTGATGTTAAACGTTTCTTTCTCCAGCAGTAAAGTATTACCTCCAGATCAATCCTCCTCTGCGGGCACGAACAAGGCAGCTCTGGCTAACACGCTTCTCCAAAGCAAAGCTTGCTTAAACTACAGTCACCCTGAATATTGAAAATTGAAGTGCAAAATTCAAATGATCATCAAGGAATATTCAACTTGAGGGGAAAAAAATCACAAGCCAACAGTGAGCATCTTGCAAAACTGGCAGAGTTCGAATATAGTTTGTTGGCTTTTTTTACATTGAAAATCTATCATTGTGAGTGGCAAAGGCATCAATGACTTTGTAAGCCATGTCTTTTTAATTATTTCCTCAAAACACTTATTCTCAAAACTACAACCACATTTGGTTTACACAGTTTATAAATCAATGATCTTCCACCACCGATTCATACAGCAGGAGGACAATTTGCCCCAAGGAACGTCCTCCGGCAGTTACTGGCACCTGATCAAATTCAACCCCAAATACCCGAGATAAGGGAGATTTCACTTGTCACTTCCCAGGTAAATAAGTAACATTTTAACCCACTTTGGGAAATACTATTTTCCTGTTAGCATCTATGTCCACCGAGTTCTCCGAATTCAGTTCCCACAATCCCCTGGAGCCACAGCTGTCTGTATCCCAGCCCATCCGCACATCTGGCCTGCCCAGGACTGCAGCAGCTTTGTGATGCCGACGGGAGAAAGGAAAAAACCCAGCTAACAGACCGCAGCTTTCAGCTGAGCGCAGAGGACTGAAAAGAGCAGCTCTGAGCGTGTTTGTCATAATGAGGAGGAAGACAGATGTCCGGCTCTTAGGTAAAAGAAATGCAAAGAGAGGAAGTTATTGCTAAGAGGACAGGAAAGAACAAATGGCAAATAGCGGTTCTTAATAATAGTGCTGATAGGCAACCGAACCAGCAACAAACAATTGGTGTTTAAAGAGGATGACATAATAGAGACCAAAATTATTTTAGAACTGCTGAGCTGATGATATTGTTTCTGTGTTTTCCTTTGGGTCACTAACTAGATTAATCTTCAACAAGCTTGCAATTGTGGCTGGCATAACCCCGCGGCGCGTGCTGCATGGCTCGGAGAGCTGCTTTCCAGCTTGGTGTTGCACCTTTCTCTTCCTTCCCTTGATGGACGCCAAGGGCCTACAATCATCTTTTTGTCCTTGTGTTTTATCACAAGAATTTCAAGTCTTTACCTCTTGTCTTTCCAGAGTATTTTAGGCGTAAATTAGCATGTTAACTGTGAGGTCTCAGTTTATCTAAAAGAGGAAGGATGCTGAAACTTCACGAAAGTGTTGGGTTTTTTCCCCCC